ATATAGGTAAACCAAAGCACTCGAATTTTTTCATTTGTCGTGGCTAATAACAACTCACCTGGTAAAAGCCCGATCGTATTCGCATGCACGATTTTAGATTTCAAAGCATACAGGCGCATCATGAGTACAAAAAAAAGTATGTGAGATATTGCACCGTCCTACAATACTGCCATCTTGAAATTTTAATTTGATTTATTTGGCACGTTTCATACTAACCAAACACAGTACTTATCATTAATATTTCCCATAGTATCGTAATCGGTATCGATGGTATGATGCAATTACTTGATGCGAAACGAAAAGTAAACCCAGGGGGGTAAAAAGTATTGAAACTGACGAGGTAGGAATTGCGTAGAATTCGTTAACTAGAGAAGGGGCATCATTGGAGTGTGTTAACCATTTTAGTAAATTATCTAATAGTACGATGCCAAATTCCGTGTTGATCAGCCGAGAAGAAGATGTCCAACGCTATCCTGAATTTAGGTAAGGATTAGGAAATTCGGCAGGAGGTTATAATTACTACAGAGACTCGTTTTATGTAAACGATGATTGGACACATACTTTTGGTGCCTTTTGTCAAGACAGATGGCTTGTACGTTGCAGGACAGAAGCTCCAATGTAACGCGATCCAAACTTTGCATGTGTAGCGAATTTTAGACTAAATTAAAAAGGGCCTTAGTTACTAAAGAAATTACTATCTTTCCATTAATCTACTAAAAAGCATTTCTTATTTAGGTTGCAATATAGTCTAGATGTCAAAAGGTGATCAACTGACAAAATAAAGAAACTTCCTGTTAAGGAAGCCGCCTTGTATAGTTTTGGTCATTATTTGGTAACTGCATATTTCCGACCTATCGTTAGGGGAGCCTTCAAGCCAGTAGCCTCACGTTTGACAAAAGCCATTTGAGGGAAATTTCGGCATATATAAACATAAAGCATAGTTACATACACAAATATGCTTTATATTTTTTTTTATAGAACGAATGTTATCGAACACCTATGATAATGACAACCTTGGATTATAGTTTAAGGGCAGTTTTTATATATAACTTTTTAAGTATTAGGTAATGCGTTTGGTATGTAAAGTTTTATGATCATTAGGACTCCTCAGGTTTGTATTTGTGTTATGCACGGAAAAATGTCCAGTGACAAAAATTGTCAACAAAAAACATTCATTAAACAACTAATAAATGGTAAATATTCCTGCGGAGACCGACAATGGCCATGAGCACTCGAGTGTGCTAAACGATCAGCTGATCGAATGCTGGTTATGCGTCGTCTATCAGGTATGGAGTTCAGATGCAATGCTATAGCTTAATTTTTGTAAGATGAGTTTGCAAATAAATTAAACCAATTTCAGTGTTTACGCGTCTTATCAATATTATAGCAGAAAAATAGGGTCCTCAGTGAATTTATTTTTATTTCTGCTACTATTATCATCATATGAGGAGGTCGCATATTTATTCTGCCTTACACCTGAGCCATTTAATGCAGTGGTAAGTGGTAACGTGTGGGCCAGTACAATGTTAATTAAAGAAGCATTGTTCTGGCTAGGGCGCTCCTTTTCTCTAAAACTAAAGTTTACCGAAGCTTTTTATGTCTATATTGATATGCTGAAATTTATGGGTTATTAATCGTGTAGGTATTTAACAGGAACAGGCTTAGGAGCAGGTGGCCCACATAACTGACAAAGAGAAGACGAAGAAGACAATCCATTTGTTGCCCTCCTGTTGACGCCAGTTTGGCGCGAAGGGTTAGCCGGCTTAAGCTGTACAAATAACAACTTAACCAGATTTCAATTAACCCATTAGACAGCTAATTACATATCAATAAACAACATCTCTAGATGTTCTTTCATGAGAAATACCTACATTTAATTATTTTTATTCAAGTTACTTATTTAACCTATTGTACTGTTTTTCGGCGTGGGCGACCCACCTTGAAGAAAAGCATATATACGTTCATCGTGGTATTTCAGAAACGTTTCTTAAAACACTTCGCTGATGCCATTTATTGCTTCACTCTTCCCGCGTTCGAACAAATCTTGGAAATAACTTCCTCAATGTTAAGTCGAATAATTTTACAAAAATGGCGCAATGCAATAGCTCGATTTAAATTGGTAAATGATGCATGGAGATGCACGTTTGGATGCGTGCTGCACAGAAGCAGGTTTTGCCAAAAGCACAGTGGTGAAGATAACAAATTTACAGCCTTCCTATGTCTACGAGACCACTATACTTACAAGTAACTTTAGGCAATAAGGCTGTATTTTAATTGTAAGAAAATAAATAGCAGTATAATCGATTAGTTCAGTAAATAAAAAATCCTTACCGTTTTATTGCAGTAGATTGCGGCAAGCTGATACTCGTGGACTATCGATTGTTACTGGCATAAGATTGATTGTAAAAGCACAGAATTGACAACCAGAGCTGAAACTGATGCATATATTACCAAACTGAAAAGACGAAAAAAATTCGGAGCTTACTGCCAGTTTCCTTACGACCGGCAGCTTTCTACAAAGTTTTAAACACGGTAAATCTATCGAACAAGAAAATATTGTAAAAAAAACGCCACTTCACCCGTAAGCGAATTTCCGTTTTAGCTCCTTGCATTCATATGTCAGCGGCATAAAACACAAAAATAGTGAACAGATCTGTAATTTTGGAATAAAAAACGCTCCAATTATGGTTGGAGCAGTACTGTTTGACTTTATACAACTTAGAATAAATAGTTCGAGGAACAGGGGTCTAACCTCATCATGTTCACTTGCACAAAAAGCAACTACTTACACAGAATATAAAAATATTCTGTAGTCGCACAGCCGTGTGGCATAAAGGTAGGTATTTTCAACATAGGCGGCTCATTTGCTTATCAGGCATTTCTTCTCCTGTTTTTTGCCGACATCGGACCGCAAAACAGATGCTGTCCACGGTCTGGACCCACTCAAACCGCGGTATGACGTTATTGCATTGAGCAGGCATAGATAGACTATGCTTAGTGTGTGCCCACAGAATATGCTGTTTGCTTGATGCGTATAGTGGCCTTACCATTCAGAATAACTGCTATAAAACCGCATGCGCGTAGAAAAGCAAATACATTTGAGTAGCCTGTGAAAAGTAGAATAGTCGGGCAACAGCCAAGCGAAAACATGAATTTCGTCGTAGCTGCTCTTCTTGTTGCTTTTATTGGCCTCGCGTCAGCTGGACATTTCGGCGGTTATGGAGGTGATTTCGGAGGGGGTTATGGTGATGAGCATGGTCACGCTGTGATTTCACACGCCAAAATCGCGAAGGTGTCCTACGTGAAGACCCCCGTCGTCTCTACACATTATGTGAAGAAGCCCGTCGTTTCCTATGTCTCGAAACCCGTTAAGTCCATCTCGTACGTATCGAAGCCTGTAGTTTCGGTCTCGAGCATTCCCGTCATCTCGCACGGATACGGAGGGGGCTTCGGAGGTGGTTTTGGAGGGGGACACGGATGGTGATAATCGAGGAGCAGAACAAGGGCAGCAAACGAGGCGTACGCCTGGGAATTGATGAGCAAGATTCTTGTAGAAATGTCCTATGGTATAATCAAAGCCGTTTATTTTTGTAAATACAATAAATGTATGCTGTGATTCGACTTAGAAACGTTTGTGAACATAGACATTTTAATTTCTTTGCTTCGTTGAAATACTCTGTCAAATTTTCATTGCAAACAATCTTCCACCGAGCATTATGTGTAGGGGGCGATAGGGGCCTGAGGCTGGCGGGAACGGAGGGGTGTATTTGAAAAGATTCGAACTAGCCGCCAGCAGCTTGTGTGAAGTACTGACAGCTTGCCCCGCTAGGCGTATATATCCAGTTTTAAGTTAAGTGACTTTTGGCAAAGATGAGTGTACTCGCTTGGTGGTGAATGTGCAGACGGGAACCCTTTTTTTTTATTGTTACACAAAATGTCTGTCGCGAGCTTCTTGAGTACTCCTTCACTATTAAAGCCGATCCATTCTGAATCATGGTTCTTTCTCGTATTTCTAAAGCTTGCTATTATTTTCTTGAGTTATGTAGCATCCTAGCTATTAACCATAGTAAATATTATCCCAGCCATAATCTAATTATATGCTGTATACTAACGAGTTAGATATTTCGTTATTATTGACTGTGACTTTTAGATGATAAAGCTACGTGACCTAAATGAGGACGCACTGAATATTTTCGTGCATTATTAGTGCTGCTAGATTACGTCTGTCTCGGCTGGCTGTTATGAGCTTTCCGGAAACAGGTGCAACCTTTGCATACGAGAGGATCACGGAGTACCGTTTAGAAGTGGTCGGAAAGACTGTAGACTTTTTTTTTTAAATATCTTGTTTCATGCCATCTAATAATGCTAAGCTTGTCTCGGGGTTCATCTACCCAGATCTGCGTGATAACAGGTTAGGTCGTTTATCGTTGGATAGATATGTGTGTCTTGTACCTGAGGTACCTGAGGTCGAAATTTTACGCTACTCCCGCCTCGTTAGAAAGAAGTACAGCAGATATTGATCCTGATTAATGAAGCCTGGAAAGAAGCAAGTAAATAAAGCGACATCTACGTTTACATTCTAGTGTGCATTTCATAACAATTTCTGTGTGGTAGCAAATGTTCACCTGTCTGGGGCTACGTCCACTTGTATAAGATACGGTGCAATGTAGTCATGGGCATAAGATTTTAGAAACCTAAAATTTTGAGGTTGCAGAATAAATTTTTTCCGAATTTCGAATGCAATTTTACCTAGCGGCTACGGTAGAATTGAGTACAAGATATTCATGTATGTGAAGAGACCATTTTATTTGTTACATAGAAACATTCTAATTGTTTGAATCAGGTACAGCTTAGTGACTGGATTGAGCCCTTTAAATTATTGAAGTATTTAAGTAAAGTAGCATAACCATTGCCAGTTTCAGTCTGTACGAACCACAGGGAAAAGCGGGCCCATTTAACCACTCTAGTACGATAGTGATAATTCTACATAAGAACGGTTAGCCTAAATAGGCCTATCAGCTTTCTGTTAAAAATACAACTTTTACGTAATTATGGTGATAAAATCAATGCCTTTAAATGCGTTTTTTAATGGGCGTATCTGAGGCTCAAAGAAAGATACTTCAGTCTTCCGAGAATATTATTAGTGGTAAAAAAAGAGCTCTACGTTTTAGTTCTCTATTTGAGAAATTTTTACTTGTTTAACGAATTCCTTTTTTCTTTTAGTCGCTGTTTCTGAGCCACCTTCAAGAATTCAAAAATATTAGGACGATTCTAGAGTTAAGTCAGCGATGTTAGGCAAGAACGTAGGTTGCCCAGCACATAACCTGTTAAACGAGGGCATAATGTTAGCCCTTTTATTTGGGACCTTAATTTACATTATAATCATATTGTTCAAGTTTCAGTTCATAATTCGCTAGTTTTCCCTAGATAAATAAATCATCAATATACGGGTGTATCCAACTATAAAACCAGCATTTTGACACAATAAGCATAATTGACTATTGTTTCAGATATTTATTAATAGTACTTTAAAATAAGGTCGCACTAAATCGAATGATATATGATTTGTATCCATTTAGAAAATCCGGGAGTTTTTTTTCTAAGTAAAGGCAGTCTTCATATGAAAATAAATTTAACACGTAAATGGCATTCTGCCTCAGGTGGCTAGAGCGCTTGTATAGCATTCTACAATTCGCTTTTGTGTGTGTTACATAAATGTATAGGATCGAAATTGCACAGGAAGAAAAATGAAAGAACGAAGGGACCGCTAGTTTTTCATTATTGATTGATCCATTGTTGAGGAACAAAATAATTGATCGTTTCTGGCAGATGTCTTTAATATGCGACATCAACGAACAAAAGCGGACTCTTTGTTTTCTATACGCATCTGGAATAAGAACTTTTAAAGAACAAATTCGTTGTAACTAAAAGGCCCGGAACTGTGTTGCCGATCAGTCGGAATCTATGAAGACAAGACGCAATGGCAGCGTTGACAGCAGAGGGATGGCCGCTTGTAAAGAGTGCTTATTGAAACAAAGTTTGTTTCGAAAATGATTACATGCACAGCTTTACAAGAAAGACGTGCGCGGAGCGTGTGCACTGTGTAGCTGTTCTACCTAGGGCTACCGTAGCGGAAAAACTGATACTCAGAGAGACAAAACTGGGATTGAAACCGAGATGAAAAATGATGGCAGCGATTGGCTTTCTGACTGGCTAAAACAGTAAGTTACGAAAAAAATAGTTAACTCATTCGTACATAGGTTATTAAATTACTTATTGATTAAATTAATTGCGAATGATATGTTATCTACTGTAGGTTTTTCAGTTACGTTGTGATGAATAGCAAAGTTACCTCTGTTGCTTCATCGTACTACGTACAGTGCTAGCTTAAAGATTAGACTTCAACGCGAGTTCTAACGAGGTACACGTGCGCAGTGAGGGTACATCAATGCAATGCTACGGGAACATCAATGTCCACGCCGTGCATACTGACGAATCACTCAATCGACACCCGCAGCATTTATAGTTGACCGTCCAAGGCCAGAATTCCCTAACACTGGACATTTTTTGCCCTCTCTTTTTCAGTTGCAAATGATGTACTAGCTACATATAAAAGCCGCTAGCGTCAACATGCCTGTACCCGCTTTGAACTGCCACCTGCGCAATTGTCCTCAGTTAACTTTACTCATAATAAAGTTGTAACGATGAAGTGCGCCATGACTGCTGTTTTCGTTGCTCTCATCGCTTTTGCATCAGCCGGAGACCTCGGTGGTTACGGCGGAGGATTCGGGGGCGGTCATGGCGGCGGACATGATAACGCGGTCATTTCGCATGTTAACGTGGCGAAGGTGTCGTACGTGAAGACTCCAATTGTTTCTACTCACTACGTGAAGGCACCTGTTGTTTCCTATGTATCGAAGCCCGTTAAGTCGATTTCGTACGTCTCGAAGCCCGTCCTCTCAGTGTCCAGCGTTCCTGTCATCTCCCACGGATACGGAGGAGGTCTTGGAGGTGGACTCGGAGGAGGTTACGGGGGAGGCCACGGATGGTGATAAATCTGCAATTAGATCTGAAAATAATATGTTTTTTGCAGAGTAATTAGAAAGCTAATCTCAATGTTATACATTTATGTAAATAAACACATACACGTTATGATCTTAAAGGTTAATTTTGTTAAATATAAATGATAAACAACGAACGTAGCATATCATTATCAGTAAATGGATGGTGGGCATAGTAGTAAACCATAAGTCACAGACCTGACTACGACAGGCTACAGGGTTTGGTAGGATAGGTAGACTACTGACGCGCAGAATAATACTAACAGGAATGGGCGATTGATTTGTTAGGCTATCATATTTGAGATAATCACGCTAACGTTCTAAGACGTCGAACCGCTGCCTGTTTCGAGTATACGTATTTTCGAGGTACGTGTTTATCTGACCCACACGTCGTAAGTTTCAACATAGTGATCTTCAGTTTTAATTACAACTTCGACTACCACCTAACGAAACGTTAATTACTTGTGAAAGCTGCAATTTCTAGAAGCGTTTGTGTTGTTTAGGTTATAATATATATATATATATATATATATATTTACTATCACTGATGGAATCATACTGAAAACATTTAAATAACGCTTTTTACGTCGTAACTTATGAAAATTTAGCACTTGAGCCTTGGATACTTTTTCGTCAAATCTAAGCAAACTTTTTCATTTCATTCAAATAACTAAAAAGCTTGCCAAATTTATATTTACGTGCCAAAAAAAGACTCCTAGCGTCCTCTCAGCAAAGCCTCAAATTCCTGCGCTTTCTTTTCTAATAGTAGGCCAGACAACATCGAGTCGTTAGCAAGTTAATGTCTGCTATATTTGAGAGTTTATATGAATTTGTTACATACTCTAATCTATGTGAAAAGGTTTTTGTGGAAGTTCTGAACTTGTATGGAAATTTCGGACTTGGACAAACCTAAGTTATAGTAATCTAGCGAAGCGCCCCAGGCATGCCCTTCCTAGGTCTAAGAGCATTTGAGATGGTCCAACTTCAAGAGGGTGCATAAACACGCTCTTCTCTATGCTGAAAACCGCTTACTGAGGTAAGATTGTTGGTCAATAAGCGATATTAGCTTTAGCTCACGCTGTGGCAAGTGCTCGAGTGCATTTCTCTCTACATAGATTCAACTGGATGCTGGTTAGTGATTTTGTCCGCTTTTGCCTGCATTTTTCACTCTGTCTTAGTATCCTGACCATATAACAAATAAACAGCGTTAGCTACTCAGAAGAATCAGAACCCCCAGAATACGTGTACTAGTGCGCTGTCCATTTTCTATCCTTTTTAGTGCATTATAAAGATACAGTGAACCCCCATCCGTGCTCTGAGGCCTACTCCTCTCAACAGGTTATAAGAAGCAAAATAACGCACAATGCAGCGCACTGCTACGACTCCTGTCAGGGCAGTTTTTACGGGTTTAGCCTCTTTCGAGGTTTCGGTAGTTACGACGAACGATACGGAGGCGACTACAGTGGTGAACATGGACACGCCGTAATTTCATACGCCAAAGTAGCGATCCCGCATAACCTGTTATTTCTTGCGCAGTGCGTCAAGAAAACCATCGTTTCTTTACATTTTAAAGTCTGTTAAATCAATCTCGTACATATCGAAGTGTCCAGCGTTCCCGTCATTTAGCACAGATACGGAGAAGACTTCGAAGGGAGGATAAAGGTGGATATTTTTTGAGTGCATGCTTAACTCTTGCAGTTAACTGCGTAAAATTTGCATAGCTGTATAAATAGATATAGGTCAATTATTAAGACATGAGATATTGCGTCCTTACTCTTTTTTTGTAGACGTAGAGCTATGGCAATACCCAGAAAAGTTATTGATTGCTAAGGTATGATTTCATAATGGTTTGTTAATGCATCTTCAATCGAATGAAGGAATGCTGCATTTAACGCAGAGATAAAGCGAATAAGTAACAATTAGATGATATTTGGTATTTCGTGCCTCATGGCCTTCCAGAAAGCAAACTAGAAAGATTGAGTTTGTTTGGTCTAGTTCACCTTGTTCCTTCTTTTTAGCCTTTTATTATGGTCGTTTAGCCTTAAAGCTTTACATTCTATTCTCAAGTTATTATATGAAACGCGTAACCCTAATACACAAAACCAATAGCCGTCAAAAATTAAACTAACAGTCTTTTTAATTCAGTAAATTATTCTATGCAATACCGATATGTTTTTTTTTGAAAAATAACTATTTAGCATACTACAAAAGCATGCGGCTTTCCGTGCCTGATCATCACATAATATCACTAAGCATAAACGCATAAGCGCAGACATCACTACTTCATCATTGCGTATTGCATACGCAAGTTCAAGCGATCCCGAGCATCCAAGGATAACAATCCTAGACGCATGTCGTACTGCCATCAATTTGCTATCAATTTGGTCACATCTCTTTCAGATTATCAGTTGGCATTCAGCGGATGCTTCTCCTGAACATCGTTCACCTGACCAGTGCCTGACTCGTATTCCCTAACCCTCGTAGGCTTGTGTCCTCTTAAGGAACCTCGTACAGCCCCTAGGTTCCTTTAAATGGCTGTACAGCGCACATTATGGCAAAACTCACGTCTGGTAGACACCGTAATTTGCTAAGCCATTCGTACTCCGTGCAATAACATTAAGTCAGTGGCGGTCTGAGATCTTTAACTCTAACTTAGTTGAAAATGGTAAATTTACGCGACTTTATGTATCCTATTACTGAACAAGCAATATAGTTATTCAATAAACAAAAAAAAAAGCATTAGAATCGATTCTACTCATCAACTACAGTAAGCTTTGGTTTCCCAAGCTGACAAGTAGATAATAGCTATTTAATTAAACAAACGTTCGAAAAAAATATAATTTTCATAGCAGTTCGACGAGTAGTAGAAATTACTGAATAATAATAAGGGTTCAGTCGTACGGTACCTGACAACCGAAAAGGAAATTTCAAATAATATGCGTTATAAAAAGATCTGGAACTTTTTGTTTGACCGAATACACAATGGACTTTAAACACGATCCACAGTCAGTGAAACAAAAAAAATCTCGTCCTGTCAGTGGCTTTATATTAAAGCTGTCCAATCATCTGCCAGGAAGAGTCTGCGCGCAGTTCTCATTAATTCATGGCGCCCAAATACTATGGCCTGGGTAGCCTTCAATAAACAGCAAGGAACTGCGGATGGAAAAATTATGAATTTGACTTTCGTTCATTAAATATGTACTATTTTTTGTTCATACTACCTTATCTAGAGAGCTATCACCTTACCTTTGACCTGTGAACCATATACGAAAATAAGTCGATTAACGTAATGATTACTAATAGCGATATAATTTAATAATGACCTTGATGAAACGTCTTAATATGACAAAAAGTATAGATATAAACGATTTTTTCGTATCGAAATCCATTAAGGCACCATTACTTCAACCGAAATTCCCTGTGAAAGGCCATTTTTGAGGCTACAGCAGCGGTAGGAGTCTCTGTTAGTATCGAACAAGCGAAATTGAAAAACTAACAAGGATGCAACGTCAGAAGTACTAGCTACTTAACGAGCTAACAGAATAATATGCCAATGGTTCCAAACAATTGAATTCCGGGAACTTTTGGGTCTCTCAATGAATATCGCTTACATACATAAGCGATAATTGAACTTCCGCGTCTACTGCAAGCGTATTCTTTTTTAGTCACTATTTAGTGGCTAACTATGTATATTTAATTTGTGAAGATGATTATCAATACTTATCCAACAGTCCGTGAACAGTGCTGCTGAATGCCAAAGATGGAACAGCCCACTTATCAAAGCAGCATCGACAACTTCGAAGACTTTTTAAAAATGTCTGACCATAAAATTGCCGTTGACTCATTCGTCTATTGCAAATACTCCACTGTATGTGACGACAAACCAAAATACTGACATTTCCTAGACGTAAGTCACTTAACAGCTAAAGCATCTTAGTCGGTTCTATTAACTTTAACTTAGATTTGTCATCTAGCCGTTGCCGGCTCATTTATATTATTCAGCCGCATTTATACTGGCTCTCGCATTCATTTATGTAGTACCTAAACTAAGATAAGGTAACGTACCCTCAGCGGAAACGTCATTGAGTGCCACCCGTCGGCAGGACGATCGATGCTTGCGGCTACAATCGCAAGAGATATTATAATAACACAGATCATATGAAACATCTTTTTTTATTCATTAAAGGCCTATATTTTACTCGTGCCAATTCACGCCCTTAACAATTAATAATCCTCCTGCGCCTCCGGATCCTTAGGGTTAACAAACGCCAATTTTTTTATTTCATCAGAAATCATCGGTTTTCAGTGAATGAGTTCCCCAAGAAGTCTGCGCAAAGAGTCGTAAACCAAAGCCAATGAATACGTCGAATAAATACGTTACCAAAGACAGATTAGACCACCTTTATGATTTTTCCACTTCTACCGAATCATGCGTTCAGATATTTCGTGAAAATAATCTTCTTTCATATCTCAAGTTCATTCGATTGGCTCGTAGATATATGTATATATACATATATATAATAAATAACATAGGGTTATCCATGTAGGCTTTTAAAAAGCTTCTTTTTTAATTCACAAAAAGCTCTATTTACTTTGCCGATAAGAACCTAAGTTACCTCTAAATAACGTTGATAATAAATAAAATCGTAGTCAACCTCACTGCGAATACGCTATAGATAAGTGACACCACAGCAATTCTTTCTTGGTTGAATTTGTAGGCATTATCACGGATGAAGCTTCGTCGGTTACAATGTTTATCACATACTGCGGTGTTGGAAAAGTATGCACTAAGTTCTTGACGTACCCTTTGTGCCACATAAGTTATATAGCATTTAACAACGTTAGGCGTATCCGATGTGCCTGCCAGACGAAACTTCGTTTCGAAAATAGAAAAAACTGTAGATAACTCTTTATTCACCCACGATATTCACACCACATATACATATATGTTACATATGGTATCGGAAAGATTGGCTTTAAGCACGATAGAAACGAATGGCCAACTTTGTAATGCTACATAAGACATGCTTGTTTTTCGTCTGAAGTGGCCATCGAAGTAACTTCGTGCTGAGCAAACGAAAATCAT